TTTAACACATATAATACAAATTAATAATAATTCAAAATTAAATTTATAAAACTTATATTAAATTAAATTTATATTAAATATGTAATATAAATAAGTAATAATTATTATATTAAATTATAAGGTTATATGTAAATTAAATTTAGATTAGAATTAAAATTAAAAAAAATATATATTTAAATGTGAAATTATCATATTATTATGAGGGTAAATTCTTAGAATTATGAGATTTGAAATTTTTTTGTTCTTATGTGAGATTTTAAAATAATTTCTTTTATAATTAATTATATAAGTTTTTTTTTTTTTTTCATTAATTTTGTCTCATATTAAAATGATAACATATTATTATGTTAAATCTTTATTAATTTTTAATAATATTATTATTTATTAATCATCTGATTCGACCCCAAATTTGACCAGTCGAGTCGTGAACCTCTCCTTCTGGTTTATTGTTGGTTAGATTTTCATAATCTTGGATAGAACACACATCAAAGCCAGGGCTCCAAAGGAGAATGAATCCGCATTTAGTGAATAAAAATCATACCCAACAAAAAATGTCTGTTAGCAGTAGTTGACTTTTATTTGAGGTTCACATATATTCTTGTGGGTTGGGAAGATTCAGCTCATGATGTAACCATTCCTAAAAAATCTTTAAAAAGATCATAAGGTACATAACTAACTTATATTTCGAATTCCATAATTTATTTCAGGTGAAATTTCGGCAGCCTCCTCAACGTCTCCCCTATTTAGAGGAAACTAAATGAAACTAGACATTCCATTCATGCAAGAAAAGCATGTAGTGATATATGCCCTTAGACACTACGGGTGTAATCTTCGTCCCCCACCACGTCAAGAAAGGTGTGTATGAGTTACAGTACATGTTTAAAACACAGTTGTTTCCGCGCGTACGGGTACTTATAAGTGTTGAGTCTAGTGAATAGGTTGTTAAAACTTAAGTTAATGTCCCAAAGCTACCAAGAGGAGGGTGAATTGATATTTTTAAAAATTATCCCTCTTTTGAGAATTGAACTGAAATTAAACTTTAATGAATTTTTTATAAAAAGTTTTTCAACTATAATTTTTAAACAAAAAAAATGCAGAAAATAAAAAGCAGTAAAATAAACGGACACAACGATTTATAGTGGTTCGGTCTAACACAAACCTACATCTCATCTCCCAGAGCACCCTCTGAGAATTGCACTAATACCAATATGGTCTCTCCTTTTGCAGCCACAGCAAGGCGGAGAAGACTTTACAAAACACTCTTTTCACCACTACCCGTGCCGCAGAGAAACCGTTCGTTTTCATTTCCTAGTGCAGAGAATCGTCTCCTTTCACACTTCTATGTGTTGGCAGAGAACCTCTCTCTACTCTCGCATTAGTGTGGGGCAGAGAACCCTTCGTCCTTTCACATCTCCTTAGTGGGCAAAGAACCCTTCTTCCTTTCACACTCTCCAAAGTGTCGCAGAGAACTGGATCTCCTTGACAGATCCTCTTCACAGAAATCTAGAAGAAAGAAAGAAAAAGAGTGAAGTAATCTCAAATCACAAGTAGAAATCTTACCTTTGAACAACAAGCGAAGCCTTCACTCTCCAGTGGTAGAAATCCTTCTTTGAATGCTTCTCTCACTCTCTCCTACTCTATTCCTAATAGGCACGTATATCAATGAGCAAAAAGATTGCGATGACAGTCTAATTTGGACTATATATATAAAAAGACAAGAGAAAAACTGCCCAAACTGCAAGTTTTTAATTCTGTACGCAGTGATCGTCCCGTACGATTGTGGATCGTCCTAGACGATTTTACTTAAAGTGTCAGAAATGATCCAATGTATATTGGTTTATAACTCATGTTCGTCACGCTCATCGTCCGTATGAACTAGGTTCGTCCGATACGAAACGGTTATTACATAGGTCGCGTTCCCAATTCTACAGGACGTAACCAACTGAGGTAAGTCGCGGTTCAGTTTGTCCTGGGACAATAGGTTTCATCCTGGGACGATTTTATACATAGAGTTTCGTCTAGGGACGAAGGTTTCATTTCGTCCTATACTGATCTCATACAGAGAGTTTTGTCCAGGGACGAAGCGTTCATTTCGTCCTGTACGATCTCATACAGAGAGTTTCGTCTCCGGCACGAACCATGCTTTTCGTCTGGACAAACATTGCAAGGTGAGAATCCATGGAGACGTTCGTCCCGGGACGAATACAAAATTCGTCCTGGACGATTGGACTTAGAAAATTTCTGCTCCGCCTGTCGATCCATGCTTTCCTAGGGTTAATTGACATGATCGTCCCATACGAAACAGCGTTCGTCCCGTACGACAGTTCACAAAAAATTATCCCCCAAGGTGTTGTGTTGTGATTTTCACTCAATTACAATCATCTCCCTCTCATTTCAAAACTTTAATAATTTACAAGTGAATAATTTAAAGGTCTTCATCGCTTGGAGTTGATTTTTCCTGAAATGTTAGTACACACTAGAGCACAAAACAAAATCTTCCAAAAAGTGTTAGGAGATATATAAATATATTTGAAACATCAAAATAATACAAGTTGCAAGAATGTAAAACATGCAAATAGTAACTCTCTCTACAATCTCCTCCTTTTTGATGATGGAAAAACATTATTGTTTGTAGGAATTCAAATTTTAAGAATCTCCTAAACTCCCCTGAATGATGAACTCATGAAAATAAGGAAGCATTTTGTAAGTAAAAAAAAATTTTTTTCGAAATTTTTATACAACACAAAAGCAAAATAAAAATAAATTCAAACCACATACGAAAACATACGATAAAAACAAATAAAATACACAAGAAAAAAATAAAATACACAGACCATAACAAATTAATTTTCTCCCCCTTTTTGACAATATTAAAAAGTGAAGAAGAAATCTCTCCCTAGTAGGAAAAAATTTTACACTATAATCCTTATCACATAGCTGACTTGTACTTAATAAATTATGCTTTAAGCCTTCAACTAATAACACATTGTCTATAAAAATTTTTTTCAAGTTTCCAATCATACCTGATCCAACAACCTTCTTTGTGGTATTATCTCCAACTGTAACCTTGCCTCCACTCCTGGCTTCCAGCGTTATGAATTGAGCAGTATCTCCATTCATATGCTTTGAACATCCGCTGTCCAGGTACCATATGCTCTCACGAGGTCTTGTGTGAGAGCGACACTACAAAAATATCAAATGTTAGACCTGGAAACTCAAACAAGTTTGGGTTCTTCTTTTAGCAATTTATAATCAGATGCATGTATGATATGTCTAGGTTTATGCATCTTAGATCTCCACACCAAATCAGGTTTCATCTTCAAAGTACAAGTGTGTGCTATATGTCCAAATAATCCACAATTATTACATTTGACATTAGGAAAAGTATTCCTAAGTCTTCTACCATTTGTTTGTCTTCTAAGGGATTCCATATATTTAGGTTAAAATTTAGGATTTGTAAAATCTTCAAGTTTGGGGGTTATCCTATTATCCTCGAGAGCTTTTATTTTCAGCTTATAAAATGAATTCATATCTTTCAAGATTCGATTTGTATAATTGATTCGATATGTTTTGCTCTCTAACTCATTCTTAAATTTTTTAAATTCTTTTTCAAGATCAGCATAGGATGATTTTAAAATCTTATGATTTTTATTCAGGTCATTGTATTCATCAAGTAAATTCATATGGTTGTCATCTATTAAATCAAGCATGTAAATATTATTAATTCTTTTTCCTTGCAGCATAGTGTTTCCATTTATGTGAATCATATAACTAGTAGACATAAATTTAATGCTAAATTATTTATCACAAAGCTAACTTATACTAACAGTTTATGTTTCAAGCATCTAACAATAAAATAGTTTCAATAACGAAATTCTTGTATTTGTCAATTATACCTCATCCAACCACTTTCTTGGTGATGTTATCTCCAAGTATTACATTACCTCCTACCATGGCCTCCAGCAATATGAATTAATCTACATCTCTAGTCATGTGCCTTGAACATACGCTGTCCATGTACCACATGCTTTCACGAGTTCTTATGTGAGAGCATCCCTACAAAAGTACCAGATATTAGATTTGGAAACACAAACAAGTTTGGGTCTCATCTTATGAAAAGAAGAATGAAATACATACATGCTTACTGTGAATTTTGAAGTTTTGGTCTCCACACCAAATGTGTTCTATGGTGAACGATAGAAGAATGGGAGATATGTTCTAGTATGCTACAAAAAAAAAAAACATTTAATATTAGGAAAATGATTTACTAATCTATTTTTATTATGATGCCTCATCCTAGGTTTAAATGATGCATGCTGATATGATGGATTATAAAACTCTTCAAGTGAAAGTAATTTTTTATTTTCTTTGAAAGCATTTACTTTGATTTGTAAAAATTAGTTTGCACTTTTAAGAATTAATTTTTTTTTTTAAATGCATACTCCATATTATCTATTTCAGATATAAGAGTTTCTAATCTCTTGTATGCATTTTATAATTCAACATGTGATATTTTCAAGGAATCATGTAGCTCAGTTAATTTAAAATGCTTCTTGTTTAAAATGTCAAATTCATCTAACATAGCTATGTTATTATTATCCAGAGTGGAATGGTCTTTTTTTAAGCATTCATGCTCTTTTTGCAAAATTTGAAAAATCAAATTTAAGGCTGGCATGTAATATTTTAAGCTTCATATATGCATTATGAATTTTTTCAAAAACTTCAAATAATTGATCATATGTAAGCTCATATACCTCCTCTTGGTCAAAGAGATCAAGATGATCATTTGTCATTAAGAATAAGTTGGTTACATCCTCTTTTGAAAATTAAGTAGAGTTAGGCAATCAGACTTCAGTTTCAGAAGAGTCTTATGCTAAATCTGCCCAGAAACTTTTTGAGTCCTTTATTTTCCCTTCTTAAATTTAACTTTTTTTTTCACCCTTCTGCTTTCTTGGGTGAGCTTTAAGAGTTGGACAATCAGGCTTCAGGTGCCCTGACTTCTTGCATTAAAAACATATGACATTAGAAGAAATTTTAAAATTTTTATCATTCTTACATTTATTCTATGCTGATGACATTTTTTGCTTTTTCTTTAAAAAGCTCTTGATTTATCTAGTCATAAGGGCAATGTCATTATCATCTTGTCCAGAAGATACTATCAGAATTATTATCCTTTAAGGCTACAATTTTCTATTTTCCCATTTCACCTGCATTAAACTACTCTTGACTCACTCCTTGCTCGTAGACAATGAGTGATCTAAGTAAATTATCTGTGAAATAAACATTTAGATCTTTAGATTCAATAATGATAGTTATTTTTGCATCATAAGAAGATGGCAAATAACGAAGAATTTTGTTAACTTTTTCATAGTTTGTCAGTTATTTTCTTAAGGCATATAGGGAAGTAACAATCATTGTAAACTTATTATATATTTCAGAAATAGATTAGTTAAGTTTCATATGAAAAAGTTCATAATCATGAAGAAGAATGTTTAGCTTAGATTATTTTAGTTCCTTTGTTCCATCATATGTAATACAGAGTTTGTCCCAAATCTCTTTACTAGTTGAACAAGTAAAAACACACATATAATCATCAGATTTTAAAGCATAAAAAAAAATATGTCAAATAATTGACATTCAGTTGGGCTAAATCTCTATCATCAGTAGTCCATTCAGAAAAAAGATATTTCAATTTTAACACCATTTACTTAACGAAAAGGTGCAGAATAACCATCTTATACTAGCATTCACATGCGATAATCAATTAATTATAAAAATGTGGACATGCGAGTTTTCCAAAAATTAAAAGGAATAATATTATCAAATAAAGGTGGTCTAGTAATTGAGAATTCTTTCGGAGTATTACGATTACCAAAGTTAATCATTGATATATTTTTTAAAAGTTTTCTAAAACTTAAATTATGAATTCCGTTTTAATGCCAGTTGAAAGTTTGTGAGGATTGTTAAACTCTTATGAACTAGCTCGAGACTAACCAAGAGGAGAGTGAAGTAGTTATTTAAAATTTTATTTAACAGAAAAAAAATCTTTTTTGAATATTTTAAAACAAACGATTTATGCATAACCAATAGTAATTTTACAATTACAAAAATCAGAGATTTCGACCACAACAAATCACATAATAATGTAGAAATTAAAATCGGAAAAATAAATAGAAAGAACACACAATATTTATAGTGGTTCGATCAACTTGACCTACGTCCACTCCCCGAAAACCTCCTTTGCAAGTATTGCACTAAAAGTAGTGTATCTCCTTTTGCCCCTTCAATAAGACAGAGAAGCCCTTATAAAATCTTTCTACCAACCTGATGGGGCAGAGTGCCTTGAATCCTTTTACTCCCTCCTAGAGTAGACATATAACCTTAGAATCGTTTTACTCCCCCATGGAGTAGGCAGAAAACCTCCGAATCCCTTTTTATCATCCTAGTGAAGGTAGAGAACCTAGATCTAATGCTGATGAAGATCTCCCCTAGAGCCACTAATGAACCAAAAAAGCAACTTGAAGAAGACGGTGGAAACCTTGCTCGGAGCAACCTTTATCAATCCCTCACGACTCCCTCTCACAAGTATTTCTCTCTCTCCCAAGCCCTCTCTCTTCCTTGTCTAAGCTCTCTCTTAAGATCAACTCCACAACAAAAGATTGTCTCAAGGGACAATAATATAGTTTAAATAGAGAGCCTAAAAAAGTCCTAATTTTTAGCTTGCCGTCAACGATCGTCCAACACGATCGATAGATCATCCTGTACGATTAGTACAAAACAGTCCTTTCAGCCAGTACGATCATCTTTGCCTTGTACGATTAGTTCAAGTATTTGTACTAATTGTTCAATACAATTCTACGATCGTCCGAAAAGATTAGTTCAAGATATTGTATTGAACGTCTAGTATGGCATATGACAACGGGTGGCGATCTACATATCATCTCACAAACCTCTCGGGACGTCCAATACGATATCCTGGATGATTAGAAGAAAATTATGATTTTCGTCTTGGACGATAGGGGATCGTCCCATGAAATATAATAAATCGTTCAGTACGATCTAAGTAGATCGTCCTATATGATCTGATCGAGCAATCTAACCATAACTAGTCTCGTAATCACGGGATCAATCTAGTTATGATTGTCATAAATTGTCTAGGATGATGTATATCGTCCTATACGATTAGAACAAAATTTAAAATATTACCTAAATCATGATTGGTGGCTATTTTTCACAATCTGAAATGATCATCCTATACGATACAGATCGTACAATATGATTAGTTTAATCACTTTGAATTTACAGGGATGCCCTAATTAGGGTTTTTTTGTTTTTAACTGATTGTTCAATACGATTGAAATTGTTTAGTATAATTAGGTCAAAAACCAAAATTTTTTTTAACTCACAAATCACTCTCCTTAAGTTTGTGTGTGTAAGGTTACTTAGCTTGGGGTATACCAGATATATGACTTGACTCAAGAAAGGTAAAAAGTACATTGAAATTTTGATCATAGACATACTCAACCATTGTCTACCTAGTCTTGAGTTGATTGACGTTGCAAGTGAACTTGTGGAACTGAAAGCTTAGTGAGCAGGGCAAACAAAACAAATATGCATGAATAACAGTAGTAAATAAACAATAATGTTTGTTATCATAAAAATCATTATACATGAGCCCATATTTGCAATAGTCGGCTACTTGCGGCAAGGAAGAGTTCGCAAACAATAGAGGAAGTCGAATCTTGGGCTTCAGCGCTGTTACAAGGAGCTTTGGCCTTATGGGTTTGAAGGAATCAAAAGAGCCGCTCTGGTTTGGGAAGAGGAAGAAGCAAAGTGGCTGCGATAACTTTTTGTGTAAGATGGAGTCACATGGAAGGAAGAAATCGAGGGCTCTTCACGTGTTGCTTTTAACGATAACAGTAGATGAGTCGAGACAAAGCACGCGTGATACGACATCTTCAGCACCGTTGCATAGGTATGGAGAAGCCGTATTCGCGGGATTTTGATAGGATTTGAGAGCAAGTAATCATTTTGAATTTTTTTTTATTTTATGCTTTTTTTTCTGTATTACAGAGGTCAACATGGTGCTCTTCAATATCTGACCTTAACAAGGCCAAACATCGCCTATGAAATGAACAAAGCTTGCCAATACATGCAACAACCAACAGAATCTCAATTTGAATATCTCAAATGCATACTTCGATACATCAAGGGGACAATACACTATGGTTTGCCGCTGTCCTCCAGCACTCTTCAGCTGCAGTCATATGTAGACTCAGATTGGGCTGGCAATCAACATGATCGAAAGTCTACTACGGGCTACTGCAACTTCCTAGGTATGTCTCTCATTTTATGGAGTGTCAAGAAACAATCCATGATTGCTCGTTCAACTACGAAAGCAGAATATAGAGCTCTTGCATCTGCTGCCGTAGAAATCATCTGGCTAAAACAACTCCTTCAAGAGCTGGGTTGTTCACAACCCACTCCCATGTCTCTATTTTGCGATAGCACTTCGGCTATAGCACTGGCAAATAACCTGGCCTATCATGCTCGCATGAAACACATCGAAGTTGATTATCATTTCATCTGGGAATGCATCAAGAACCAAACAATTCAAGTACATCACATTTCAAGCAATGATCAACTAGCTTATTTATTCACCAAATCCTTGCAGATCACCAGGTTTCGACAAATTTCAACCAAACTGATACCTGGCACTACCAATGGAATGCTCCGCATATATCAAGGCCTACCAGGCGGTTACGTGAAGCTCAGAGCCGTAGGATCAATCCAATCTAAGCCTGAATGCTTCATACTAGTATACGGTCGCAGTATATACTGAAATAAAATCTTCTTAGCTTTTGTCTCTGCTCTCTTACTAATTTACTGCTTTAGTTCTCTGCTTGCAGGCTATCATAAATCACACACAAGCATATGCTAATCCTTGAACACAATTTTGATAATGGGGTCTAAAGCCCTCATTCAACTGACTTAGGCATGGTGACTTAACATATCTACTTTCTCATAAATTCACATTTCTGAAGTGTTAAAATGGCACACGTTATTATCAATTCAACGGCTTTAGGCTTCATTTGAAATGACTTTTTTATTACTTCTTAAAGTCATTTCAAATGAAGCCTAAAGCCGTTGAATTGACATGTGGTATATACATAATACATGATATATTTCATCCATCCAAGAATCCTAAAAATTTCTTCTAGTTATTCGGCATGGGAGATACCACAGCATCTTTTTTGATAAAACTCCAACGATGTGCTTAATGTCATGAAGACATTTATTAACAGAAGCATGCATAGGAGATGGCAAAAATTGTTAGAACTGATAATAACGTTTCTTCATTCTTAGAAGAAGAAAGATTCAATGACATGGTTTCCCAGAAGAAATGATCTTACCAGAGAAAATACTGCACATTCACAGTACAATGTGGTTGCATTTCTAAGCCCAGAGTGCAAGTATAGACATTGATGCAGATCCAAGCACCAATGTAATATAAGACAGCTTCTTTAACCGTGGACTGGAGGACATTGCTTTATTGTGGAAGAAATCTACAGCTATGAGATCAACAAGAGCCATATAAACTAAGATTCCAGAAGAAAGAGAACCAAGCAGACCTTCGAGAATGAGAGCATTTGGGCTGCTGTCGTCGTAGCCGGTCATATGGAAGACGAGCATTCCTAGCAGTATCCCAATAGGTGTTGTTACCGAGAACATCAAGCACATGTACCCTACAGTTGCCACTCCGAAACCAGCCTGGCAAGTAGAATTGACTAAGTACTCAGAAACAATAATTGTGTACGATGTTTCATGCAAAATATCACAAGTAGAACATAACTAAGAAGCAAATAAGGAAACAAGAAGCTTCGAGAATTGAGAAATTGTTGTTCAGATAAAATTAGGATACTGGTAATCTTTATGGTTCACCAAATTTTCGCAAAGGGTTTAATTTGCAAATAGGAAGAAACTCCCAAGAGAAGTTTGTTGCAGCACACGTAGATGCCCATTAGCATATTGCTTTAATAAGACTAAAGCAGACATAAAAGAAAAAAGAGGGGCTTAAAGAAAAGATACGTCGTATAGCAGAATTGATCAAGTAATATGGTGACCACAAGTAGGCAAAAAGAACTGGCCAAAATGAGGACAGCTCAACACTGACAAGCCTGGTGATTATCTCGGCTCTCTAGACACCGAACCCAAGATTAAAGCAAGGCAGTCTTGGTGAACTTGGAGAAGACTTGGGCTGTGGCTTAAGTTCCCTACAAAACTCCATGATAAGGTCCCAACACTTCTACAGGAATAAGGTCCTCTTTTTAAAAACAGCTTTCCTAGAGGAATGGCTCACCATAACGGTATAGTATCAGAGCAATAACTTCAAAAAGTTTGAATTGGATGCACAGTATTGAGCTCATGCTAGCATGATCAGAGTTTGTTAGTGTGTTGCTTGCGGCAATGCAAGCCATGTGGGTCAGTCAAGCGGCATCTTCTCATTGCTTCTTAGAAGAATCAACCTTTTGTGCGTACCACACATGTTGGAGGCAAATGGAAGGAGATGATCTGATCTGGCCTAGGCTAGGCCAGCTGGCCAAAGTTGGATTGGTTTGCTTTTAATTGGATGATGCGGCCAATTTAAATACTTTTGAGTTCTAATTCAAGTGATTTAAGAATTCAAAGAAAGTGTGACATGTTAGAGATCCTAGTAAGTTTTTTTTTCATGCTATTCTAAGCTTTTTGGTCTCAGATTAGGTCAAATTGATTAAAATCAAGCAATAGTTTGTTCCTAAACTTTTTCATGATATGAGCTTTGTATCAAGAATTGTGCTTGATCATATTAGGAATTTTTATAATTTCCATCTTTTTCAATGCCAAGATAATAAGTGAAACATGTTTACCTTGTACTCAAGATCTATGATTTGCTATAAGAACAAAAACATAAAAAACTTTATTGATGATAACTAAGATAACCAGCATGGACATCTCCTTGATATTATAAAGCAAGTCATTTTTTTGCAAAAACCATGAAGTTTGTCAGCATGATTCTAGACGAGAGAGTCCTATAGGTATATTATGTATAATATGATTCAGTAAAATAATTTTTTTCAAGAGACATTATAAGTTTAAATCACAAACCGTCTTCGCCATAACATAAATATTGTAGTGATTTAATAATATCAATTTTTTCATAAATTTTGGGCACTATTGATGTGGTGGAAATCCTTACGAAATTGACATATGCCAGTACAAGTGGGAATTTTGAAACTGTTTGGTATCTGTTTTGTAAACTAATTTCACCATAATTTTTTAAATAAAATGTGTTAATTTTTTTAGTATTTTTTATAATTTTTGAAGCCACAAAAAATTTATATGAATTTTATATTAAAATTTGATTAAAATATATAATTATATTAATTTTATATTATTATTTTATTAATAAATATCTAAAGCCAGTTAACATAATTTAATAAAATCCATTTCCTTTTATTCAATCGACTAACAGAGAAGGCTTAGGGAAAAATAAGAGAGAAAGAAATGAGAGAGAAAAAGAAATATTAGATTTGGAGATCATAGAGTGATTGTCATACGTTTACTCTATTAAAAGATTTACTCGTCTCGCTGTAAGGAATCATTATCCTATTTATGATTTCAATAATTTTATGTTTAAGGATTTTTCCGATCAAATTTGTATTTTGGTTACAAAAAAACGGAGATAATTTTGAATTGTTAAAATTTTCATCGTGTAACTTTTATATGTTATAGATATTGAGATAATAAACAAGAATTTGATCTCAAGTAATGAGAAGATGGTAAAATATTAGAAATTATCTTTTTCTATTATATTTAAATGAGAATTTGACTTTTATTAGGACACAATGGAGAAAAAGAATTCATGTAGCCGACATTACGTAGTGGGACAGAATGTTGTTGTTATAGAAATTGACATTATAAACATTTTGAGTATTTATTTGAGATATTTTGCCCTGTGATCTTGAAAAAGTAGTTATTTGTACATATTCAAAATTTTATTTTGACATATAAAAGTAGTGTTTTAGTTCAATTAAAATTTCAGCATATTGTTATATACGATTCCTGGTAATTTAGTTAATTTTTTAAAAATATGAATTTTTGCTTAGTAGGATTTTTTGTTGCCTACTATTAGGACATTTTGACATTTTCTGAATTAAGTTCAATTATATTTTATTTACTACAATTGATTGATAATAAATATGGACATGTAGTTATTATTATTATAATACTGTGATAATAATACGTGTGTGTAAAAGACAAGTAAAGTTTGGTTGACCATTTGGTTGGAGATTGATTGACCTATACAGGATGGTGGGCGACAGGCTTTCCTTTAAATATTATAGTTTGATGTTATTCTCTATGATTTACGTGATACTAATTAGGAGTTATGAGTTATTATTTTGCTGACGGGCAAAGATTGACGACTTTATTTACTAAGCTAATGGTTCTTGACTATCGATTATTATTTACTAAAAAATATTATGATAGCCAGGACTTCTTATTTATTTAGTGTGAATACTGAAATACATGTTATTGATGCATTATTTCTATTTTTGTACTGATTTATTGATATTGAGCATATTTACTGTAATTGCATTATTCTACTACTCCTACAACTAAACTGTTATTGCTACCGATCTAGACACTGATACTATTTGATACTTCTAATTTATTATACTGGTACTAAGCATATGATATACTAATCACGTAATATACTGATTTGATATTGATATAAAATAACTGGATAATATGTATATACTCCTATATGATTTTGTTGCATTAATATATTTGACAATCTTTATCGATGCTTTGATTTTACAGCTATATATGATTTCTCTACTGATTGAAAGTACCAATATGATGACTGTTTTAGTGATTCAACACTCATACTAGTTTATTAATTTCTCCATTGTATAGATTCACTGGCTTCCATATCGCATCGTTTTACTGGTTACAAACTTTACTGATACTACATGTAAGCTTTATTATTTCTATATTGATTCTTGATCATATGATTGTTACTGCTATAATTTGACTGTCGACATGCATATTACTCTTTTGTCTTGCATTGAGTTCAATTGTAGATTTTTTACTTGTTGGGCACTTGAGCTCATTATATGTGGTTAAATGATTTCAGGTCAAGATAAGGAAGCAGGAATATAAGATTGATCAAGATTTTTTAGGTTTTGTTTTTTTTTTATTTTAATTATTCTTTTATACTCATGAAAAAATTTTGTGATATAATTGTATAGATCATAAGTAGTGTACATGATTTTTTAGAAAGTAATACATATGTATATATTCATGTTTATATTAATAAAAAAATTAAGTAGTTATGGTTGTGTAAATTAAAAGATAAAAGAGTAATTCTTCCAAATTAAATTTTGGGGCATCATATTAGTCTTAATAACTTTTAGCATCTCTAAAATGTCAATCTTCTCATGATTTATGTAGATACAAGTCTTCATTGGAATTAAATCAATGAAAGTATTATATGTTTGAGCATCATTATCAAACCGAAGAGGTAGAAATGATCCAAGCTAACGCTTAGGGAACTTGAAAGAATTAAAATTTTCTCAATAAATATATCTTTAATTTATTAAGATACTTGTATAGGTTTCAAGTATCCTATATTGATTCTTGATCATATGATTGTTACTGCTATAATTTGACTGCCGACATGCATATTACTCTTTTGTCTTGCATTGAGTTCAATTATAGATTTTTTACTTATTGGGCACTTGAGCTCATTATATGTGGTTAAATGATTTTAGGTCATGACAAGAAGCAGGAATATGAGATTGATCAAGATTTTTTAGGTTTTATTTTTTTTATTTTAATTATTCTTTTATACTCATGACAAAAAATTGTGATATGATTGTATAGATCATAAGTAGTGTACATGATTTTTTAGAAAGTAATACAGATGTATATATTCATGTTTATATTAATAAAAAAAATTAAGTAGTTATGGTTGTGTAAATTAAAAGATAAAAGAACAATTCTTCCAAATTAAATTCTGAGGCATCACATATTAATCTTAATAACTTCTAGTCATGATTTAAAATTGCGCAATATAAGGCCCGCCTTTGCGCAATTCCAGTAAAAAATGCCTCGATGCTTACGCCTCAAGTATTTTTTATGAGGCATGCGCCTCAACTTGGTTGAGGCCCGCCTCGCCTCACTGGCATGAGGCTTACGCCTCACGCTATATATATTAAAACTTATATAAATCTTGAAGTAAATGCCCGATATTGGACTCTATAGGAGAGGAGGAAGGGGAGAGAACAATTTATCATAATGATGATTCAAATGAAGAACTCCTTAGTGATGATAGTGCTGATGACTTATGAGTTCTTATGTGATATGTCATTGCTAATTATTTTTGGAAATTAGAATTATATGTTAATGAAAAGAATATTGGGATTTGGAAAAGATAGAATTTTGAGTTGAACTATATTTCATGTTGTCTTATTATTGGGATATTTTGATTTCACTTCATATCTTATGCTTTTTTATGTTTTAAATTATTCACTCATTAGTACATAAAAAATTTATCATTTTATGTTTACGCAATCTTTTGATTTTGAGGCTTACGCCTCAAAACGCCTTGAGGCTTACGCCTCGCCTCACGAATGAAAAACGCCTCATTGATTTTAAACATTGCTTCTAGCATCTCTAAAATGTCAATCTTCTCATGATTTATGTGGATGCAAGTCTTTATTGGAATT